TTTGACACTTTTTTTTATTGATTTTTAAAACTACAGTAGTTTACTTATACAGAGGACCCCCGCCTTACGATATTAATCCATTCCTGAGAACTCATCGTAAGCCGAAATTATCGTTAGCCGAATTAATTTTCCCCATAAGAAATAATGGAAATCAAATTAATCCGTTCCTGACACCCCAAAGTATGAAAAAAAAAAAAAAATTTACCAAATGAAATATTAATTTTAATACACACAAACTGAAGAAGACATGCACAATTACTATTCTACTAAGAATAGAATACATGACACTCATCTTCATTGAAGATCTGGTGATGACTGATGGGATGGGAGGAGGGGAGAGTGTTGAAGTTATTGTTTAGAAGGGGAATCCCCTTCCATTAGGACTTGAGGTAGCAAGTTCTTTTCCGGGGTTACTTCCCTTTTTCTTTTAATGCCACTAGGACCAGCTTGAGAGTCACTGGACCTCTATCGCACAACAAATCTGTCCATAGAGCTCTGTACCTCCCCGTCTTTTAAGACTTTCCTAAAATGGGCGATAACATTGTACAGGTTGCCAACATGGCTTGCAGTAGTTGTGCCAGGGTGATTTTCATCCCTAAAGGTTTCCAGTTCAACCCACTTTGCACACATTTCCTTAATCTTTGAAGTAGGCAACTTCCTCAATTTCTCTCTCCCCTCCTCTGAAGCAGTTTCCTCAGGTGTGGCCTCTTGCTGTTGAAGATGATCTTGCAGCTCATCAGTGGTTAGTTCTTCATTGTCCTCCTCCACCAACTCTTCCACATCCTCCCCACTAACCTCCAACCCCAAGGACTTCCCCAGTGCCACAGTGGATTCCACAACTGGCATACGCTTCTCAGGGTTAGCCCCAAACCCTTCAAAATCCCTTTCTTCTACACATTGTGGGCACAGTTTCTTCCAAGCAGAGTTCAAGGTTCTCTTAGTTACTCCCTCCCAAGCCTTACCTATAAGGTTTACACAACTGAGGATACTAAAGTGATCTTTCCAAAACTCTCTTAGTCAATCGAGTGTCTGAGGTCACTCCAAAGCACTTTTGAAACATAATTTTTGTGTAAAGCTGTTTGAAGTTTGAAATGACTTGCTGGTCCATGGGCTGCAGGAGAGGAGTGGTATTAGGAGGCAAAAACTTGACCTTAATGAAGCTCATGAAGGATGACCAGGAACATTGTCTAATACCAGGAGGCACTTGAGGTCAAATTTCTTTTCCATTAGGTAATTTTTCACAGTGGGGGCAAATGCATGGTGTAACCAGTCATAGAAAAAGTCCCTAGTGACCCATGCCTTACTGTTTGCCCTCCACATCACACACAGATTAGCCTTGAGGACATTGTTTTGCCTGAACACTCTGGGAGTTTAAGAGTGATACACCAATAAAGGCTTCACTTTGCAATCACCACTAACATTAGCACACATCAAAAGAGTAAGCCTGTCTTTCATAGGCTTATGTCCTGGGAGTGCCTTTTCCTCCTGAGTAATGTAGGTCCTGCTTGGCATTTTCTTCCAAAACAGGCCTGTTTCGTTGCAATTAAACACTTGTTCAGGTTTCAATTCTTCACTGTCTATGTACTCCTTGAATTCCTTCACATATTTTTCAGCCGCTTTTTGGTCCGAACTGGTAGCCTCACCATGCATTATCACACTATGTATGCCACTACAATTTTTAAATCTCTCAGACCAACCTTTGCTGGCCTTAAATTCACTCACATCACCACTAGTTGCAGGCATTTTTCTAATTAAATCGTCATGCAACTTCCTAGCCTTTTTACATATGATCGCTTGAGAGATGCTATCTCTTGCTATCTCTTTTTCGTTTATCCACACCAATAACAGTCTCTCAACATCTTCTATCACTTGTGATCTCTGTTTCGAAAACAAACTTGCACCTTTTACAAGAACAGCTTCCTTGATTGTCGTTTTGTTGGCCAAGATAATAGTGATGGTTAATTGGGGTTTGGTATGCAACCTGGCCAGCTCCAAGACACGCACTCCACTTTCGTACTTCAAAAAAATTTTTTACATGAAATATACATGTAGTACATAAACAATACAATGGGAAATGATGAATGAAACATTAACAGAATAACACTTACCTTTATTGGAGATTCTTCTTAGTGTATGGGAGACTGGAGGAGGAGAGAGATTGGATTGTTTACAGTTTGGAAGGGGAATCCCCTTCCAGCAACACCTCAGGAGAGTATTAGACAAATGTTAATAAATTAAAATATAATTATCTCTTTCTTCATTTCCATAGTAATTTTCACCCTTTTTACCACAGGGTTGGCAATAGAAGCTTTCTTGGCACCCATGGTGACTTATTTTGCAGTTACAAGCACTAAAAACTCTGTGATAATATGAAATGTAATGAATGTATGCTTAGATGTGACCGCGGTTGCTGGCTTGTAAACACTGGCATCCACGGGGCAGTTGAGGCCACACGTGGGACGCGTTCCGGATGAATCACGTTTTTTATCATGAGGCGAGGCAAAATTTTTCTGTTCAAATGCTTCGTATGGCGGATTTAACGTAACATGATGCGTTCGTAAGGCGGGGGTCCACTGTATTTCAAACTTAATATTTGGTTGTTACTGTCATCGCTATTAGATTGCATAACCACATTTCTTAAATGTGCCTTAAATTACATATACATGTATGTTACAGTAGCTTAATTTGAATACAATACAAAAGGTGCCTAAAAATTCATCAAATGTTGTTATTAAAATTGTTTATTATCCAGAATTCTCTAAGTGAAATTTTTTTTTTCAAGGTTATTTGGACACCTAAAAAAGTGTACATAAAAAATATACAGGCTGTAATATGAGCATTTGGGATGTTATAGGAAAAGTATTACAGTGGAACCTTGGTTTTCATGATAATTCATTCCAGAAAGTCTGACGAAAACCGAATTGTACGAAAACTGAAGCAATATTTCCGTAAGAAATAATGTAAATCCAATTAATCCATTCCAGATATCAAAAAATATTAACAAAAAATACATTTTATAGAAAATAACTATAGTTTTACATACAGAAAACAGTGAGAAATAAATATAAATGGCTAATGAAATGGATAAATGAACATTTAACATCACTTTTGCCTTTTTTGAAGATTTGTTGGTGAATGGAAGATGGCGAGGAGGGGAGAGGAAGGAGGAAAGGTTATTGTTTGGAAGGGGAACTCCCCTCCATAAGGACTTCAGATATCAAGGCCCTGTCTGGGGTTACATCCCTTTCTTTGTCTTTTACTGGCACTAGGACCAGCTTGAGAGTCACTGGACCCCTGTCACACAAAAAAAATCTGTTCAAAGAGGTCTGTTTCAGTCATCTCTTTTAGATTTGCCTAAAGTGGGACAAGGTATTGTCATTGAACATGTTGCAGACACGGCTTGCAACAACTTTGTTAGGGCGATATTTCTCCACAAAACTCTGCAATTCATTCCACTTGGCACCCATCTTAATCACTGAAGAAGGCACATTCTCCCCTCTCTCTTCCTCCTCCTCTGGAGCAATTTCCTCAGCTGTGGTCTGTTGCTGTTCCAGTTGAAGGTCTTGCAGCTCTTAAGTGGTTAGCACTTCCCTGTCGTTGTCCACCAACTCTCCCACATACTGGCCACTCACATCCAGTTTTTTTTTAATAATATTTTTGGGTGTCTGGAACAGATTAATTGGATTTACATTATTTCTTATGGGAAATAATACTTCGGTTTTCGTCCACTTCGGATTTCGGCCGACCTTTTGGAACAGATTAAGGACGAAAACTGGGGTATTACTGTATTGTATACACATCTTTTTGTTTAAGAATCTGTTGCTTGATTGCTGTCTGCTTTTCATAAGTTAAAAATATGTGCTATACAGTATAGTACTCTATTGTGATTATGATATTGTAGAAATTAACCCTTTCAGGGTTGGTGCCGTACTAGTACGGCTTGCACACCAGGGTTGGTGTCGTACTAGTACGCATAAATTCTAGCGCCTTCAAATCTAGCAAGAGAAAGCTGGTAGGCCTACATATGAAAGAATGGGTCTATGTGGTCAGTGTGCGCAGTATAAAAAAAATCCTGCAGCACACAGTGCATAATGAGAAAAAAAAAAACTCCGACCGTGTTTTTGGTTTAAAACATCGACTTTGCAATGTATTTTCGTATGCTATTTATGGTTGTATTCTAGTTTTCCTGGTCACATTTTATAGAATGGAAGACATATTACAGAAATTGAGATGATTTTGATTGGTTTCACAATGGAAAGGACCTTGAAATTGAGCTCAAAGTAGCAAAAATGTTCGATTTTTGCCAAAGTTCAAAAGTAAACGAACCATGCCATGCGTCCAATACACGTCAACTGATGAGTCTAATATTCCTTGACAAGTGCGCTGATATTATTTATACCATTTCTACACTAATGCAGTAGACTGCATAATAATAAATCTTCTATTATTTGTGAGAAAAATTCAAAGTGGAAAGCAAAAGAAATGTAACAGAGGCCTGGGGATGTGACTAATGAACAGAGGAAGTGTTATTTTAGTGCCAGGAATGTCTGTCTTGTTTATTCTAGACCCTGTTTGGAAATTGGCATCTGTTGAAATTTGTGTGAAATTGGCAAAATTGCCAATTTCTGACCACTTTATTGGATAGTTGAAATCGGTAAATGGGTGGTTTTTTGTATTCATTCGATAGAAAAAATCGAGTTCTAGCAAAATAGTTATGATTTTTGTCGACTGGTAAATTGGAATTGGCTGAAAGTAGGGGTCAAAGTGGGCGAAATCGCCAATGCATAAACATCTTCAAGACCGCTATCTTCGTGAGAGCATAATTCCATAAGTTTTCCATGAAATTTCTTACTTTTGGTGTCATTATAATCGGGAAAAGATTCTCTATCATTTCATAAGATTTTTTTTTGAAAAATTTCTGACCCTGAGAACAAGTTTAGGAGAGGGCCTGCTGACCCTGAAAGAGTTAAGATTCACGTATAAGTTATTTAAATTGCACGTTATAATAATAATTTTTATGGTAATTGGCTATAAGATTTACAAATTATAGACAAATAATATTAATGCAGAAATTAATAGTCACAATAAATGTAGGAAAGATGAAATGATGAACACAAAATTATGCAACAAATATTAAGTGGTTAAAATATATAATAATTATAATAAATAGCCAGTGTGTAAAAAAAAAAAAAAAAAAAGAACATACAGTACAGTGGACCCCCGCTTTATGATCAGCTCCCAATGCGACCAATTATGTAAGTGTATTTATGTAAGTGCGTTTGTACGTGTATGTTTGGGGGTCTGAAATGGACTAATCTACTTCACAACATTCCTTATGGGAACAAATTCGTTCAGTACTGGCACCTGAACATACTTCTGGAATGAAATAATATTGTAAACCGGGGGTCCACTGTACTTGGAAAAATACTTGTGATAATGAATACCAGTCAGGTGAATATACTGTTGTAAGGTAATCATGCAATATTACCTATATCTGGTATATACATGTACAGTACGTGTGGAGTGTTTTGCATCCAGTCCATTATTTTGAGCACTTACAGTTTTTCACAAGCATGTTAGGTTTTTTCTGAACTTTCTGTTAACTCATTAAGTTACATCGTGTGATGAAGGAAGTAAACACTGGACTGTTTACCATTATACACACACATCAATACAATAAACTATGATTTTCTCAGTAAATTACTCCATCGTATATTATTTCACATAATAGAACATTTTTTCTTTTTGATAAATGCTTTTTCAATATTATTATCAAAAAGAATCATTTTATATTTGTACCGAAACACTGTAGGACTGGGAGGGGGTTGGTATATAAAGGGCAAAGCAGCATACAAAGCAGATTGTGCTTCCAAAGCCATGGTGTTCTCTTGCAGAGTTTGAATTTGTTGCTCTCGAGCTTCTCGACGCTGTCTCTTAAGATCTAATAGTGACCCTTTAGGTAATGGGCGAGTAGGCATTTTCTTCCTTGGTTTAAAGCTGATTTGTTCTGCTTTTACTTCCTCTTCAATTTCATTAGTAGTTGTCTGTGGTGTGAATGCACTGCTTGAAGGGTGAATTCCTTTATGGTTAGCATCATTATTTTTATTAGTGCTGTTATTATTGGTATTACTATTATCATTATCCTTATCATTATTATTATTATTATTATTATTATTATTATTATTACTGCTACTATTAATATTTGCATTAAATACTGAGTTATGGTTATTTATTTTGTTGTCCTCAACTGTAGTACTGGTAATGAAAAGTGGATTTATATTAGGAGTAATATTTTCCTTGTTGCAGACTGATCTTGGGTCATCAGTTTGTTTACTCTTAGTATCACTTTTTATATTTTTCTTTTCCTTGGTACTAAGCCTGTCAATGCTTCTTATTAATTCAGCCTTGTGTTTAGCCTCTTTTATTGAATTCCTACGATCTGAAGAGAGTTCTATTGCTTCTATATTAACAATAGGAGATGAAGGTGTGTCATCTATGCTTGGGTTTCGTGAACCATCCAAACTTTCATCTGTAACAATAAATAAGTCTAGTTTCTTTTGTGGTTCACTGTAGAAAGATTCAAGTGAGTTTATATTGATGTCTTGAAAGTGTTTTTCATTGCTGTCATCTATAGTAGTTCTCTCCACTTCTTCAAAAATTGGAGTTAAATTCTCAGGACTTGCTTCACCATAGAGTTCACACATGTCTGACATTATACTTATTTTGTGGAGAATCACTGATTTTATTTCAGGATCATCACAGAGGTCATAAGGAGTTTCCCCATATCCAGTACATGTTTGTAAATTTACTCGTTTGTCATGTGTGAGCAAGTCAATTGCTGCTTCATTGCACCAGTAAGATGCTGCATGTATGGGTTCCCATCCATCTTCATCACGTGCTGTTAAAGAGGCTCCATTGTCTATTAGCAATTTTACTATATCATTAAATCCATTTGCAATAGCTGCATGAAGAAAAGTGCTCTTTCTTTCCAATGGTTGATTAAGGTCTCCTCCAGTCAATACAGTATTTTTAATGTCTCTAAGCATGACATCATGAGGTTCTTCACGAATCCTCTCAATGATATCTTGTGTAATGCCTCTTTTCATCATTTCATTTTCCATATACTGGAAAGTCACTTCATCATCAGTAATATCATGAGGCATCTCCCCATCACAATTAATAGCTGTCAAATTGGCTCCTGCTTTGATTAAAGTTGTCACAATTTTAAAGTGTCCACAGGTGGCAGCTGCATGTAGAGGTGTCCAAAGATCTTGATCTGTAATATTTACATCAGCTCCATGTTTTAATAAAAGTGTTACCAGTTCCAGTGAGCCATCTATACAAGCCTGATGCAGTGCTGTCAGTCCATCGTGGTTCCTCATGTTCGGATCGATTCCTAAAAAAAAATGTAAAATAATAAAATTAATATTTTCTTAATTTACGCTTTATACTCTTTTTTGGTGGTGGTGGTGGTGGTGTTGGTGTTGTAAGCAAGTAACAAGGGAAGATGGATAATGACCCTAATTAGAACCATTGAGATCAATATTACGACTGTATTTAAAAGTATTATGGCCCTGTGGCTAAAAAATATGAAAATAGATAATCATTACATGTACCTTTTGTGCTGGTTGACAAATGCGAAAGGAAGAGATTGATTACAGTTCAATACAGGTAAGCCTCGATCATTGGATTGCCTTCCTGGAAAATTTTCTGTTTTGTTTTAAGTGAATCTTCATTAATATATACGTTTGCCTTAAAACTTCTACTCTGTATGTGTGTTTGTGTACTCACCTAATTGTGGTTGCAGGGGTCGATTCATAACTCCTGGCCTTGTGTGTGCGCGCGTGCTCTTATATACGTACGGATGTACTCGCCTATTTGTACTCACCTATTTGTAGTTGAAGGGGTCAAGTCACAGCTCTTGGCCAGGCCTCTTTGTTGGTTACTACTAGATCCACACACTACCTGCTCCATGAGCTTTATCATATCTCTTCTTAAAGCTATGTATGGATCCTCCCTCCACCACATCACTCTCCAGATTATTTCACTTCCTGACAATTCTATGACTGATGAAATGTTTCCCAACATCCCTGTGACTCATCTGAGTTTTCATCTTTCAGTTGTGATCCTTTGTTGCTATGCCCCATTTCTGAAACACCCCTTCCCTATCCACCTTGTCAATTCCTCTCAGTATTTCATGTCATTATCATGTCCCACCCATCCCTTATGTCCTCCATTATCTTCAGGTCGATTTCCCTTACCCTCTCCTCGTAGGACATACCCCATAACTCCAGGACCAGTCTTGTTGCAAACCTTTTCACTTCCTCTTATTTCTTGACATCCTTGTTCAGATGTGAGTTCCATATTGGTGCTGCATACTCCAGTGTGGGCCTGACATATACGGTGTACAGAGTCTTGAATGATTTTTTACTCAGGTGTCGAAATGCTATTCTTAGGTTTGCCAGATGCCATGTGCTGCAGCAGTCTTTTGATTGATGTGCACCTTAGATGTGGTAGGTATTATGCTTTCCCCAAGATACTTTTCCTTGTGTGGGGTTTGCAGTCTTTGGCCCCCTAGTGCCCATTTCTGAAACTGTCATTCTGTCACAAAATTTAAAAAAAAAAAAATAATTTTTTCTTATGAAATGATAGAGAATGTTTTCCTGATGCTAATGACACCAAAAGTATGGAATTTGATCGAAAACTTACGGAATTACCCTCCTGCGAAGTTAGCAATCTTGGTGATATATATGCATCGGCGATTTCGCTGACTTTGAACCCTATTTTCGGCCAATTCCATTGTTCCAGTCAACCAAGCTCATAGCTGTTTCTCTGGAACTCCATTTTTTCTATCAGTTGAGTACAAGAAACTGCCCATTTACTAATTTCAATTACCCAATAAAGTGGTCAGAAATTGGCAATTTGGCCAATTTCACACAAATTAAAAAAGATGCCAATTTCAAAATAGGGTCCAGAATGAACAATGCATACATTCTTGGCACTAAAATAACATATCCTCTGTTCATCAGTCACTTCTCCAGGCCCCTCTTATGTTACTCTTGTTTTCAATTTTGATTTTTTATTCACACACAAAAAATAAATATTTACTGTTGTGTAGACTACTGCATTATTGTAAAAATGGTGTAAATAATATCAGTGCACTAGTGAAAGAATATTAGACTCCCTAGTTAACGTGTATTGGACGTGTGGTGTGATTTGCTTACTCTTGAACATTGGTAAAAATCAAACATTTCCGCTACTTTGAGCTCAATTTCAAGGTTGTTTTCATTGTGAAACTAATCAAAATTATCTCCATTTCTGTAATATGTTTTCCATTCTGTCAAATGAGACCAAGAAAACGAGAATACAACCATAAATACTATAGGAAAATGCACCTCAAAATTGGCGTTTTAACCCAAAAACATGGTCGGAGTTTTTTTTTCTCGGTATACACTGCATGCTGCAGGATTTTTTATATGTGGTGCACACTGACCACACAGACCCAATCTCTCACATGTGAGCCTACCAGCTTTCTCCTGCTTGATTTGAAGCTGCTAGAATTATTGAGTACGTGTATGTCCAAAACACTGGCTCGTAAGATGTATATATACGGCCGAAACAGTCAAAGAGTTAAAGTAGTTTATACATGTCAGTTACACCAGTGTCATTTGTATACTATACTTCACTTTACAGAAATCAAGTTGCTGGTTTTTTGTTTGTTAGTATTTGCTCACTTGTCTTTTTACACCACAGCTTAGAGCAAGCTTGTACAAATTCATATACAAGTCATTGAAATGTTCTCATTGTAATGATGGCTTTTTGTGTTGGTAAACTGAAGAAAGCTTTTGTGTTGGTATATTGAAGAAGACCCCAGTGAGAGAAAGCACACCTAATCAGTGTAAACCTAGTTTTCATCAGGAAAAAAATAATGGAATTCTCAATATGAACCACAGTAGGGCTCCACTTTATGGCAACCATCTTTCTAATATGGCTTTCCCCACCCGGTTTGTTTATATTCACCATGAGCACATCTGTTATGTCTGCAAACTTTCCAAAATTTCAAGTGTTTTAAAGTTATTGCATATTTTATATGTTCTCTGATAATTATACTTATTTGTACCTGTACTTAAATATACTTAAACACTGTGCTGGCATGCAGGTACACATTAAAATCACTAAGAGTGTCCCTCTAGTCTTAATGCCATAGTAATAATACTAATACATAATAATAATAACTATTGGACACATTAACCCCTAGAGGGTCCATGCCATAGATCTACGGCTTTACGTTGAGTGTCCAAACCATAGATCTACTTCATGAGCTCAGCTCTCACTGATAAGATGTGAGCAGTAAATTTTGGAATTGATATGAGAGAATATATCTATGTGGTATGTGTGCACCACATAAAACAAATCCTGCAGTACATAGTGCATAATGAGAGAAAAAAACTGAGACCGTAATTTTCGATTAAAACAGCGACTTTGCAGTGTTTTTTCGTATATTTTTTATAGGTGTATTTGCGATTTCTTAGTCTCATTTGATAGAATGGAAGACATATTACAGAAATAGAGATGATTTTGATTGGTTTTAGTACTGGAAATGGCTTGATACTGAGCTCAAAGTAGCGGAAATGTTAAATTTTTGCCCATGTTCAAGAGTAAACAAATGACCTCACACGTCTAATACACGCCTGCTAGTGGGTCTAATATACGTTCACAAATGTGCTGATATTATTTATACAATTATTATAATATTACATAACAGTAAATCTTTTATTTTTTGGTTTGAATAAAAATTCATTATGTGAATAAAAAATCAAAATGGAATTCATTAGTAAAGCCAGAAAACGTAACTAATGAACAGAGGAAATGTTAGTTTAGTGCCAGGAATGCATGCATTGTTTATTCTGGACCCTATTTTGAAATTGGAGTATTTTGAACTTTGCATTAAATTGGCCAAATTACCAATTTCTGATCATTTTATTTTGTAGTTGAAGCAGTTGACTTGGTGAATTCTTGTGCTTAATCGATAGAATAGAAGTAATACTAGTGAAATAGCAAAGAATTTGATCGAATGGAAAAAGGTAATTGACCTAAAATGGGAGTCAAAGTCGGCAAAATCGCCGATGCGTAAATATCACTGACACATCAAAATTCGCGTGAGCATAATTTCGTCGATTTTCCATCAAATTTCGTACTTTTTGTTTTATTACTTCTGCCATTTCATAAGAAAAAATAAAATTATTTTTTGAAAATTCTTGGACACTGGTGCACCCTTTGAAATTTGGCCTCTGGACCCTGAAAGGGTTAAATGTCTTGTTTTACATTAATATAGACATTTTCGTAGATCTATGATATTTTCTTCAAAATTATATAAGAAACACATTGCATAGCAAATAAACATGGTATGTTTATTATGTTTATGAGGCGTGGTAGCCAGGCGGAGGGAAAACATTACGTTTTCTCTGGTCCAGGACCAGAGAAAATGTGTGTGAATCTGTGTTTAGCCCAGTCATTCCACCTTAACAGGTAAAACTTTTGTTTACAATTTTCTGCATGAATTATTCAGTATTTCTCCCTTCGTTTATGATGGCATCTGAAGGTAGTTGGTAGAAACAATTAAACTCAGTGAACATGGTATGTCGATCATAATAATATGGCTCAGGGCCACATTAAATATTGTATAGCTATGTAGCCCAGGCTACCTACCGGCTACCTACGTCTACCGGCTACCTACACCTGACTTCCTATAAATAAATACAACTCACCTCTTGCCCTACATTAAGACTACAAATATTTTAAGGTAAGTAATGAATACAGTAGGGCCCTGCTTTTCGGCATTCCGCTAATACGGCGATCTCAAATTATGACCAAAACTTTCTATACGGCAAGTGGTCTTTAAAATACGGGGTGGGCCACCCAGTTTGTTTACATTCTCTATGAGCACATCTCTCTATTGTGTAATAATAATCACTCTTGGGCACATTAAATGTCTTATTTTACGTTAATATAGACATTTTCATTAATCCATCTATGATATTTTCTTCAAAATTATATAAGAAACACGTTACATAACATATAAACATTTTGTTTATATACTAGGAGGTGTGTAGCCGGGCGGAGGGAAAACATTACCTCACTCCCCTTAATACATAATGCTTTTGTTTACAATCATCGGCTGGAATTATTCATTACTTCTCCCTTTGTTTATGACGACATCTAAGGATAGTTGTTAGAAATGATTAAACTCAGTGAGCATGGTATGTCGATGGTAATAATATGGTCTGGGTCACATTAAATATCATGTAGGTATGTACCCCAGGTGGACTACATACCTACATTATTATTATAACTGATAATTATACGTGGACTCCCGCTTAACAATCACCTCCCAATGCGATGAATTATGTAAGTGTATTTATGTAAGTGCATTTGTACTTGTATGTTTGGGGGTCTGAAATGGACTAACCTACTTCACAATATTCCTTATGGGAACGAATTCGGTCGGTACTGGCACCTGAACATACTTCTGGAATGAAAAAATATCGTTAACCAGGGGTTCACTGTATAGACATTTTGCTTAATCCATCTAAATACACCCCACAGTAGAATAAATTAACATAAATATGAGATGTGATAGCCAGGTGACTTGTGGTAGCCAGGCGACTTGTGGTAGCCAGGCGACTTGTGGTAGCCAGGCAACTTGTAGGACTTGAGGTAGCCAGGCGACCTGTAGGACTTGTCGTAGCCAGGCAACCTGTAGGACTTGTCGTAGCCAGGCAACCTGTAGGACTTGTCGTAGCCAGGCAACCTGTAGGACTTGTCGTAGCCAGGCAACCTGTACTACTTGTCGTAACCAGGCAACTTGTAGGACTTGTGGTAGCCAGGCAACTTGTAGGACTTGTGGTAGCCAGGCAACTTGTAGGACTTGTGACGAAAACCAGACTCACTCATCTGGTTTATTTTTATTTATTTATTTATTTAGAAATTTTAGCATACATACAGAGGTACAAAAAAAAATACAGGTAAGAGCAGCATGCCAAAGCCACTTATATGCATAGCATTACGGGCTGGCTTAAAATTAACTTAAGATTAACTAAGCAATGATGAAATCAGTGATAAGACATTATTGTAAACAGATAACTATAAAGTACAAATGAGTATTACAAAGACAGGTCATATGGTTGCATGCATTGTTGTTCATTCAGTAGAATGGAGTATTCTGTTAGGTAGTGTATTTAAAAAAATAACAAAGTTAGATTGGGTCCTAGGTTTAACATTTGTGTGATATAATTGTGAGTAACATTTAGGATATTCATTAGGATATACATTATGTGTGGATGGGGTGGTGAGGATTGCCGTTCCTGGCTACCCATACTTCCCAACCTAGCTTCATATAAATAAAACTCACCTCTCACCCTACATTAAGACTACAAATATTTTAAGGTAATTAATGAGTGTACTATACAGTGTATATGCATTTTATCACTCGAGGGAGCTTAATGTCATAGTAAGTGGGAGTGGCCAGGCAGGATGCCATACCTCCCACATGACTTTCTACAAATAAATACTTTTCACCTCTCAGCCTACATTAAGACCATTAAGACTACAAATATTTTAAGGTAAGTACAGCATCTACTGTATATGCATTTTATTACTCTAGGGAGCTTTAAGCATTGTAGTATAGTATGTGTGGGTGGGGTGGCCAGGAGGGCTACCACACCTGACTTAGAGTAAATACTACTCAACTTTTGGCCTACATTAAGACTACAAATATTTTGAGGTAAATAATGAGTGTACTGTGTGTGTGTATTTTACATTTTAATGCCTAGCTCTGTTGCTAACTTAATATATATTAGTGTAAACTTCTTATCTGGCATTTATATGCATTTATAAATGGAAAAAAATGGAGTTATGCTTTCCGGCGAAGTCTGCTTTCCGGCAGTAGCCTGGAATCTAACCTGCCGAATAAGTGGGGCCCTACTGTATACCGTATATGTATTTTAATTTTTGTGTTTTTTAATGCCTAGTTCTATTACTAACTTTATATAAGCTAGTGTAAACTTGTTTTCTGACATTTATATGCATTTATAAGTGGAAAAATGGCGTTCTGCTTTCCGGCAGTAGCCTGGAATCAAACCTGCCATATAAATGGGGCCTTATGGTATCTGAATTCACTTTGAAAGAGTGATAATGTTTTCTTGGGAATAATAATGGTGCTAATTATGATATTTTAAGGAAAATGAAAGTAGTAAACAGGAAAGATAGTGATCTACAACAGTATTTCAGATAAATGAAATTGAGTGCAAGTCTCCTGGAGAAGGCCTTGGTGGTAGGCTAAAATATAAAACGTTGTACTCTCCTTCAGTTACATTTTCTTCATGTGGAGTCATTTGCTCCATTATTTAGATTGTGGATTTTTTTTTTTTTTTTTTGTAAATTAGCTAGCACTTTCTGGGCAGTATGAATAACCTGAGCATTAATATTGAAGCTTATTATGAAGTCACTGAGGCATGATGTCTGAAGCATACATGCACTTGAATGTAGTTATAGCTGAGACCTCACCTGATTTCAGAAGATTGCGCATGTCTTCATGTGATCCCCTTGCAGCAATGTCCATAAGTTGTACTTCTGGAGCAAATGCTACTTCTCGTATGTTCTTTGATCTTTGTCTGTTGTTAATATTATCTGTTTTAGCCCATTTTGCATATGCTGTTAACTGCTGCTTCCTTCTCTTCTGTGCTAGTTTAACTCTCTCATTTATTGGCAACTTTTCAATCTGCTGCATCTCTTGCAAAAGCTCACTGTGCTCCATTGTGGTGGGGCTTTTTATAATGCTTTGTTACCTCAAGCAGTGCACAAAAATCTGTTCATCTGTACATTTTGTCACTCGTATAATAATTAAATAGAATACTAATTTTACTTACTACACATATAAGCATTTTCATAAATTGGCAAATGTTTTCTTAAAATAACTACAAGGTTAAAAATTTATTTCACTGCAGACTAAATCAGGAGTGACTTGATTATCCTCGTGAATGCTAATAGATCCAACCCTTGAATACTTAGTTCAGTAATATTGTCACATTGGCACAGATTTTTCTATTTAGTATTGATTCAGTATCTTTATAATTTAGTTATTTCCTCCTGTGAGAAAAAATTGAGCCACTTCCACTTGCTGAATGATGGCTAATAATCTAGGAAGGTTTGGCTGGTACGAGGTGCAATATCTTATCTAATCTGTTTCTCTTGATGAAGGTGTTACATATCCATAAACAGTATCTGAACTTGGATCCTTTATCATACACATACAAAAGTGTTTTACTATATGTAAAATCAAAAGAAGTAGCATATGAAAATATTTTAATACAGTTTAATCCTTATTATATTTGTTTTTCAATATCAGCAGATAGTGCTATCACTAAAGTGTGCTATCTTGCATACGGATTTAAGAAGACTGATAAAACAGAAATGGTCTGTATATTCATGAATGTGATTTTACAAAGTTTTCTTGAAGCTTTGTAATAATGTAAAGATGTTTTCCCTTGAAACTCCACATTTCCATAAGCAATTGACACATTATCTAAATACAGTAATACTGTAGATGGTTTTTGTATAAGTTATAATTTTTGTTTAAATTTTCTTTTAAGGTTCTTGCAAACTTTGCCTAAATCTATAACTGCCACTTCATTCTTATTAGCAAGTTAAAAGGTGATGTGGAGTCACCAAGTGTATAATTCAGAGTTGGGAAGGGGTTGCTGAGGTGGTTTAGGCATGTAGAAAAAAAATGAAGGATAGGTTGACAAAGAGGATGTATAAATCTAGGGTGAAAGGAAGGAGGAGTAGAGGGTCATCACAGAAATGATTGAAGAGGTGGGGGGGGGGGGGGTAAAGAAGGCTTTGAGTTTCAGGGTTGAGCATCCAGCAGGCATGTGTGAGCATATTAGATATAATTGAATGAAGGCAAATGGTTTTTGTGGATATGCTATTGGAGTGTGAGGAAGGTAATATTTATGAAAGGTTTCAGGGACCTGGTTACCCTGATGTGAGTCCTGGAGGTGAGAAAGGTAGTGCCTGCACTCTGAAGATGAAATTGGGATGTTGCAGGTGGAGGCTCATCTGAATTATGATACCTGCACACCTATGTCAAGGCTGTCATTGGATGAATGATGATGAATGAATGTTTTTGGGGCACCCTGACTTGGCAGGGAAATAGCTGTTGAGGTAAAAAAAAAAAAAATAATTTGTTACCATATTTATTCATATATTTTCACATTCTCTTGAGGTTTTGCCTACAGCTCTTGCTTTAATCCTTTCTTATTCAAAATTCTTCCTACTTGTATAAAACTTCAAGTACATATTAGGATGCACCAAGTTCGGATTGGTAGATATCCATTATGTAAAATGGAGCAATGTTCTTTGTCATTTTATAACCAGGAAATTCAGTAAGAATTTTTTGATGTTTTTCCTGTATTGCCTAGGATATAATTTTAGTACTGTAATGAACCCTATCATTAATAGATGTAATAGGAAGGAGGGGAACATATGATATTGCCAATTGTTCAAAATTTCTGAATTATGAAAATAATTTTTCATAATTGGTTGTTTCTAAGCTAGTGAACTTAGTCCATTGATGCAGAAGACAATCAGACACCAAGAATATGGGTATTGTTTATTGTTTGAATGACAGTTGTCCCTTGAACAGAATCAAGGACTCGTCAACAACGTTCTTGAAGGGATAAAAGTAGGCACTGAATTTTTGCTTTATATACATAAAAACTTCCCAGATTTTGTATAGTAGGTCATTTCTGTTGGCCCTGTTCCTGTCTGAGAAGCATAACATTCATAGCAACAGCATGAATCTGTTGCAGGGGAGGAGGTCACAAAAGACAGGAGTAATGAGGAAATAGTCTGTGGACCAGTACTGTGCTATGTTTTGTTTATATGTAAGAGGCATAAGCATGGTAGTTCCAAGGAATACGTTTTGGCCACAGTTGTATCTTTCCACCTGTGTAGCCATAATGATTATGCAACCTCTGCGTTGTCCATTATATAGTGGTAATAGTTGTTTGTCTGGGTGATGATCAGGTTCGTTATGGGCTCGTCAGGGTATAGTGAAAAATACTCTAACTCTGTAGGCTCATTCATGATGGAACATTCTGGGAGGATGCCACTTCTGCTGGCATCAGAACTGAAAGGATGTGGCATGAATGTTGTACTTTCTGTCCAGTTCCATTCACAGTCTGATGGCTCAAGGTGGACCTGTGGCATGGGGTGTGGGGAAGCAGGAGGAGGGATAGGAATGGAGGCAGCACATGGTTGATGGGGTGCCGGGCTGTCCTTTGTCTGCCCGCCCACTATGCCATGTGGCCCAGGCACCGGGCTGTCCTTTGTCTGCCTGCCCACTATGCCATGTGGCCCAGGCACCATGCCACCCACCACCTCCTCCATCCCTGCATATTCTCCTTCATGATTGGTATCACTGTCAGTGGCCGGGGTTTTCGATTTTGACCTTCCATGAGACCCTTGGGGACTGCCTATGGCACACTGCCTGAATGTAGGCGACACTGCTTAAAGCTACGCTTCACTGGGGTAAAATGTGCATCACTGTCACTCAAAGAATTCTCTAAGGGCATAAAATCAATCTCATCACCAGTTACATCACTTTCATTATCATCATCACCAAAACTGAGAAAATGACAATTTCCACTTGCATAGTTGCCTCTGAGTAGTAACACTGGCCACCCCAGAGGTGCTGGTCTGAGGGTCTGGTGTGGTCACACTGGCCACCCCAGAGGTACTGGGCTGAGGGTCTGGTGTGGCCACACTGGCCACCTGAGAGGTGATGGGCTGAGTGTCTGGTGTGACCACACTGGCCACCTGAGAGGTGATGGGCTAAGGGTCATCTGGGTTATCATCAATATTTGCACTAATTCCTCGATCATTTGTGACCACATTGATCTCAAATCCACTAAACTTTATATCACTTTCCTCAAATAAGAGAGTGTTAATACAACGGGGCATGAGTGAATCCCGGGGGTTTGCCATGATGTTGACTCAAGCTGGTGCTGTGACTAACTGGTGCTACCATGTGGTACTGCAGGGTCCCTGATTTTTTTCATACTGTGCACACTGAGCATGCAAACCCATTCTCTCATGTCTAGGCCTATCATGCCTAATTTGAAGGCATGAAAAATAAAATATCGATCTGCGTTTGGAGCAGTAGCAGTAAGAACCTAGATCAACATTTAGACAGTTTAGGGGTTGTAGGTTGCCAGAAATTTTTTTTCTTCCTACTTCTCGATTTTATTTTGCTCACAACTCTAGAATACCTCATCTAATCAACTTCAAATTTTCAAAACTTGTACAGTGGAACCCCGGATATTGGCCAAATCGGATTTCGGCTGCTTTTTTGGCCAAAATTCTGTCCTGGATTTCAGCCGGCAACTCAAAAATCAGCCGTATTGGACGCGTCCACCCGCCACTTTACTGCGTCCATCAGTTAGTCTGGCTGTCTCTCTGGGTGAGTGAGCAACACTCCGTGCATTCATCCAAACATTTCGTTATAATCCATTGTTTTTTGTGGTTGTTTATTGAGCGTGACTGCAAAATAAGCCACCATGGGCCCAAAGAAAGTTCCTAGTGCCATCCCTTTGGTAGGGAAAACAAAAACGTGATAGAATTCAGTGACAAAACCTTGTCCCCACTTCAGGCAAATCTTTAAGAGACACCAGAAACAGACCTCTGGACAGTTCTTTTGTGCGACAGGGGTGCAGTGACTCTCAAGCTGGTCCTAGTGCCAGTAAAAATCAAAGAAGGGAAGTAACCCCAGAGAGGGCTTTGATACCTGAAGTCCTTATGGAGGGGGATTCCTCTTCCAAGCAATGACCCCAGCTTCCTCTCCTCTCCTTGCCTTCTTCAATATGGCAACAAGAGTCTTCAATAAAGGTATGTAATCTTCATTTATCATTAAAATTTGTGCTTTATATTTTTTCTCATTGTTTTCTGTATGAAAAACTATAATTAACCTTTAAAAATTGTATTCTTTGTTAATATTTTTGGGTGTCTGTAACAGATTACAGTAGGGCCCCAATTTTCGGCGTTTCGCCTTACGGCGTTGCACTAATACGGCAATCTCAAATTACGACCAATATTTTCTGTACGGCAAATGGTCTTTCGAATACAGCACGGGCCACCCGATTTGTTTACATTCTCCATGAGCACATCTCTCTATTATGTAATAATCACTCTTGGGCACATTAAATGTCTAATTTTACGTCAATATAGACATTTTCATCAATCCATCTATAATATTTTCCTCAAAATTATATAAGAAACATGTTACATAGCATATAAACATGCTGTTTATGTGCTATGGAGGTGTGGTTGCCATGGGGAGGGAAAACATTACGTAATACTAATAATAATCACTCTTGGGCGCATTAGATGTATTATTTTACGTTAATATAGGCATTTTCATTAATCCATCTATTATATTTTCTTCAAAATTATATAAGAAACACGTAACATAACATATAAACATTTTGTTTATATACTGTGGAGGTGTGGTAGCCGGGTGGAGGGAAAACATTACGTCACTCCCCTTAACCCTTAAACTGTCCAAACGTAGATTTTGATTTTCCCCATTTGAAAGCATGTAAAAAAAAACGTAGATCTACGTTCGGAGCCCCCCACATGTGGACGTAGATCTGTGTTTGGACAGTTTAAGGGTTAATACTTAACGCTTTTGTTTACAATTCTCGACATGAATTATTCATTACTTCTCCCTTTGTTTATGATGACATCTAAAGGTAGTTCTTAGAAACGATTAAACTCGGTGAACATGGTATGTTGATGGTAATAATATGGCTCTGGGTCACATTAAATATCATGTAGCTCTGTAGCAAAGGCAGACTACATACCTACATTATTTTTATAACTGATAATTATACGTATGTGTACCTGTACCTAAGTAAACTTACACACTGTGCTGGCATGCAGGTACACATTAAAATCACTAAGAGTGTCTTATTAGTCTTGAAGATGCCATATTAATGATAATAATAACACAATAATCACTCTAAGGAGCATTAAATATCATATAAAACGTTAATATAGACATTTTGCTTAATCCATCTAAATACACCCCACAGTAGAATAAATTAACATAATTATGAGATGTGGTAGCCAGGCAACTTGTAGGACTTGTGGTAGCCAGGCAACTTGTCGTAGCCAGGCAACATGTAG